GTGCATAACAGTCCTGAGCGCAAGCTGTACTGGTGGTCAATAAGAATAAAGCGCAGATATGCTGTTCTAAATGGACGTCGGCAACGGGATATTGTTAGACCGCCCACTCCCATTCAAATTACACCAGAGTTACCGACCGCTACCGCGTTTTATTCGGGAATTTAATCCCGCGGCGCAAAAAATCCGGTCGGTGAATGCAGACCTCTATCTGAATGTTTTTATGAGAAGTAGGCCTAGCATATCACATAGAGCATATGGGGAACGTATCATGCTGCTAGTGTCAAAAAGAACTTCATTATTTGTCACAAATATGTAAGGGAACAAAAAGCTATTTCATTGACATGGCAGCAAAAAATATATTTTTTAAAATGAAAAATTATGTACGTTTGTACAGTCGGTAAGAAACATTTAAAGCTGATAAATTCACTCAGTTCGCCCGGTATTGGCAGGTGTGACAACAAGGTTATTTTGAATCTAACGTATAGAATATACATTATACATCAACACATCTCTTGTCGCTCTAACATATTCGCACCCCATGTATCACTTCATTTATGGCACCCTCCTTTATTTTACTGTTGATTTCACTCACCTGTGCTACGCAATTCCTGGAATGCTCTGGCATTATTGTAAACCATTCCACAGATATGCAAATAAAGCTTTGTTGACTCTCAGACATAAAGAGAAAGTGAAAGAGAAATGTGCAACATACTACACAATGATTTCTGAGATGCAACATCGATCAGTAGATCTACGTTAAAGCACCTCAAAGGTGCAAACAAAGGCACATATTCTTTACTCAGCCGCCAGGTTGAAGAGCATCACGTTAATGATCAGCACAAATAAAATAACTAGTCTACACTACAAAAGAGCAGACATAATGCAGGCCAAAGAAAGCAAGACAAGAAGAAGAAGAAAAAAAAACACCCACAAAACTCAAGTCAAAGTGTGTTAATTAACAGTGAAGCCTGAAAACTTTTCTCGCACACTGGGTTTGGAATGTAGCTGGAGAAGTGACCGTCTCTGCAGGCCTGCTGTCGTCTGGAGTGTGAAGGCGCTCCGCCTGCGAGAGCTGTGTGAGAGAGAGCGAGCAGGGGGAGAGCGCTCGGCCCCCGCTGTGCTTGAACAGCGGCCTAAAACACCATCCACACCAGCGCTCAGCAGGGGCTCACAAAGGCCTCACAGCCAGCCATTTGTTACTGTGGCTTTCCAGGGGGCCCAGCCACTCACTGAGGTGCGGGGGTGTGGATGGAGTCGGGGGGGGGTCGGGTGTT